TGCAGCATTTTTCCACTCTTTCTAAAACAAGGTTTCAATGCAGCAAAGTATGTCTTACAGGATTCACTGTTAAACTCAAAGATTTGTAAAAACGTCCATCTTCAGGTCGTGATTCAGTAATTTTTTTGCTTTAGAGATTTGTATATACTGAACATAACTTCTATATTGTTATTAATATTTCAAGATGAACACTTACTGGACTGAAGCAACTTATGTTTAAATGATTATCCATAGATCATGTTTTCGAAAAATCATATTCAAATGTGAGCGTCAAATTTGATCCATCAGGCTTTTGAGGAATGTTTATTTGTCAATCATCACTGTTGCATTGCTTTATATGTTTTACCCTACAATAAAAAACTACAGAGCTTTCATCATAAAACTGTGCATTTAAATCGTTTTAAGACATATAAAGTGACGACTGATATTTATATGCATTTAATGTAAATAGTCTCTTATACTGTTATAAATTGCATATTTTTGCTCAGTTTGAGCCTCCGAATAAAATCTTTGATATATCAAATATGATACTCAACACAAAAAAATGGACATTTGAAAAAAAAAAAAAAATCAATAAACTCTTCCATTATTTTTGTTTCTGACTATTATCTCCTACATTAGTCTTTACAGGGTTAACCTGACTCTAAAAACAGTACATTTATCTTTCTTCCGTTTACCAGGTGCTTTTATGCAAAGAGTCTTACAAATGAGAACAATACGAGCGGAAGGGATTCAGACAAAGAAGAAAACAATACAAGAGAAAATTGTAACCGGTAATCATTGTTTTGTCTTGGCAGACAGATTAAATTAATATTATAGTTTAAAAATAGCAGATTATATCCTGTCAGTCAAAAGGGAGCGAAACAATGCGTCAGACTGCAGCTCTCTGTGTGAAGAAAATCTCTCTTGTGTTGAATTTAGGGCTGTCAAAGTCAAATCGGTAATACCATTTTTTTTTTAAATAGTGTTGTTAAAACAGGCTGTATTTGACCCTATGAATGGTTGTCAGGTCTGCAGATTTTCCCTACTCCAAATATAATTTGTATCACCTCCCATCCAATAATCACAAAGAGCTTTTCTCTTTACTTCTGATAAGAAACAAAGTTTCACCTTTCAAATCCTATCCATTTTATCAGGAAGTTCAAACAATAAATGGCGTTTTGATGCTCTTCAATGTGAACTGTAGCGCTTCATTTCAAGCAGCAGCGCGTCTTTTCTTACACTTTAATACTTTTAATACTCTAATAATTTAATAAGTTATAGCATGAAAAAACGTGCATTAACATTAAAAGGTATGTTGAAAGCACTGTAAAAAAAAATATGGACGTAGTGTTCGTGACGTCACCCGTAGGTTTCTGAAGAGCATTTTTGAAGCCTGAAGTGGGCGGAGCCGGCCGTCGCCATCTTGGTAGCGCGTCCCTCCTGGATAACCGAAAATGTGCAAAAAGGCTGGATTAGCTGAGCTGACGTGACGGCTAACAGACGGCAGACAAACGTCTAGTAGTGACATCAGCGGCAATCCACCTGTCACTCAAGTGACCACGCCCTTAATTATGCAGTACTTTAAGGCTTAATATAATTTAAACGGATGAGTTATAAAAAAAAAAAAATCACCCCCACCACAGTTGTCATGAAGCGCAAAATTAGCTGTATAGACCAAAACCACTTTTTGTACCAGGCTGTAAACGCATTCGTTTCTGCTGTAAAGTTGGGCATTTTATCATGGGGGGTTTATGGAATTGACTCTCTTTTGCAGCCTGTCTCTAGTGGCTAGTCGATGAATTGCAGTTTAAGTCACTTCCATGTTGACTGGAAGGTTGTCGCTTGGTTGAAAGGTACATAGAGCCGGATTATTAAAAGGGCTACGCTGAGCTGAAGCCCCAGCAAGGAGGGGAATCGTGATTGGCTATCAAGGGAATAAAAAGTAGGCCTAAATTAACAGGCCAATCGGGAGCAACCAAACTTTTCCCGGTGTACCAATCACCAAAATCTCATTACACCCCCACATAATGCCGTTGTTTACTGGAGAACTTGGGATAAACACCAAAGGTCAAGTGATGAAACGGCGCTACCAGATTACACCGCGCAGCTCTAGCACTTGATCGACGCTTTTACTGCTCTGTTGAAGCGATAACAGCACAAGTCACTTGATCCATTTGAATCCATTGTAATATTATTATTGTTGCAGAAACCATAAAATCATGGTAATCATTTTTTTTTTTTTTTATTTTTTTTTTTGCCTGTCATGATCTTACAGTCAAACTCCGGATTCGAAATAGTAACTTTTTATTAGGGTATCTACAAATGAGGATTGTTCAAGTGTGTAGATATTTTCAGTTGTGATAAACTTAAAATGATTAGTTCACTTCAGAATTGAAATTTCCTGATAATTTACTCACCCCACGTCATCCAAGATGTTCATGTCTTTCTTTCTTCAGTTGAAAAGAAATTAAGGTTTTTTGAGGAAAACATTCCAGGATTTTTCTCCATATAGTGACTTCAATGGGGTCCAACAGGTCGAAGGTCCAAATGTCAGTTTCAGTGCAGCTTCAAACACGATCCCAGCCGAGGAATAAGAGTCTGATCTAACCAAACCATCGCTCATTTTCAAAAAAAAATTTGTTTTTAATTGATATACTTTTTAACCACAAATGCTCAAGTGTGCGCCAAACATTAGATGATCACGTTGAAAGCAAGGTTACGCATGATGTTGACGGAAATACAGACCTAGTGTTCACGTAGTAAACGAACGTGCAAAGACTAAGTCAAATGCCCTTTACAAAAAATAAATAAAAGGTAAAACAACGATGGCGGTCGATTTTGAAATTGGAGAAAATAAGATGGAGTTTTTCACCCTACCCTACATTTTTGAACTGGAACACACATGACCTTTCAATGTGATTATCTAATGTGTGGCGCATCACAGAGCTAGTGCAAGACCAGCATTTGTGGTTAAAAAATATATCAAGGTTTTTTTTAAAATGAGCGATGGTTTGGCTAGATAAGACACTTATTTCTTGGCTGGGATCGTGTTTGAAGCTGCACTGAAACTGACATTTGGACCTTCTGCCCGTTGGACCCCATTGAAGTCCACTATATGGAGAAAAATCCCGGAATGTTTTCCTCAGACCTTAAAGGGTTAGTTCACCCAAAACTTTTCTGTCAGTAATTACTCACCCTCATGTTGTTCCAACCCCGTAAGACGTTCGTTCATCTTCGGAACACAAATCAAGATATTTTTGATTAAATCTGAGAGCTGGATCACTCCTCCATAGGCTTCTAAGGGATCGAAACTGGCCGGCCCAGAAAGTCGGTAAACACATCGTTAAAATAGTCCGAGTGACTACAGTGACTCAACCATAAGTTTAGCAAGCGACGAGAATACTTTTTGTGCGCAAAAAACCCCCAAAAAATAAAGACTTTATTCAACTATTCATTGTGGGCCTCGAGTTAGTTACGTAGTGTAACAGTGCAGCGCTTCTGTGATGTACGCCAGAGCCACTGTAGTCACTTGAACTATTTTAACGATGTCTTTACTAACTTTTTGGGCTGGCAAGATATCAATTACAATAGAAGCCTATGGAGGAGTGATCCAGCTCTCTCAGATTAAATAAAAAATATCTTAATTTGTGTTCCGAAGATGAACGAAAGTCTCACAGGGTTGGAACAACATGAGGGAGAGTAATTACTGACAGAATTTTGATTTTTGGGTGAACTATCCCTATAATTACTTTTCAACTGAAGTAAATATCTTGGATGACGTGGGGGTGAGTAAATGATCAGGAAATTTTCATTCTGAAGTGAACTAATCCTTTAATTGATGTAAAATATTAATTCAATAATTAAGAGCCTGCAATATTAATATTTAACAAATTTGCAGTATATTCAAAAATATATATTATTGTTTGTGTCTGTCCTTTATTCTTTAATTAATTAGTTCTAATTAATTCTAATCTATGGACTACCCCAGCAAAACATTAATAGAGAAACGTGTTAGCTCCAGTCCACCTCTTGACCTCTTTGACCTCAAATCTGGTATAAATGTATTCATGCTTTTAATGTGTTGTTGCCTGGAATATTTAGTATATTTAGTATATATTTAGAACTCATTGTTTCCCTCTGTGTTCGAGATTTTATGTATTTTACTATGAACAGAGCCTTTGGGTTTGCTATAGCCCCAGGCATGTAATGACATGAACGATGCATGTTCTTGTATGGAGGCATTATAGTCAATGCAAGCAGTGTATTACATTGTATATTCTTACCAATGAGGTCCTGTTACTATGCATGACAGTATTTCAGCATATAAATACTGAAAGGCAATTCCACCCTGTAAGTGCCCTGCACTTAAAAGATAAATATGAATATTTTAAACAAATAGTAGTCCAAGGCACTCAAACTGGGGAAATATCACACAGAATTCTACTAAAAATGACAAAAACTATATATACATTACGAAAACTTTAATTTAGAATAAAAACTGAACATTTAAAAATATAAACATGTAAAGTATTAATACATTATATAATAGTATAAATAATACTAAATATCCCTGAGAGCACCAGTAAATATTAACGGATACCCAGGTAGAACTCTCTGCAGACTATTTCTATGTTTTTATCTACTTCTGTACACTGTAAAAAAAAAAAATATATATATAGTAAGTTGATTTTAAGTACAATCAACTTGGATGTTTAAGTCATTTAAACTTAATTTACATTAAACTGACTTGAACTGACTAAAAATGAGTTGAATCTTATATAACTTTTTTTTTTTAAGTTGAAAATTGCTTAACTTAAATTCAAATTAAAGCAATGTAAAAACATATGTTGTCATAACTTATTGATCAAACAATTTTCTACAGTGTATTTTGAATGTGTCCTTGTAGACGAGCGTCACAGTTGATTTTGCTCATACTTGCCTGCGGGTTTTGCTCAGTTAAGCACGACTCACGTTTTCTCCAGAAAAATGTTTAATGTTGTCGGTGTTGTGTTTCTCAGGATCTGGGGCCAGTCCTCAGGAGGGTCCGAGCCAAGCCAGCGCGCCGTCGGGACCGCAAGGTTTCCGCAAGCATTTCCTAAGAGGCAAACTAGACTGTGACAACCAGCCGCCGGATCCGGACCGGCTGTTCCAGCGCTGCTTCATGGCTACGGTCACCACCATCAATGTAGAGGGACCTTCATAAAGCCCTGGAGCTGAACAACATCACCCAGGAGTCCTTTCAGTGGCTTTAGCCAATCATCATGCGACTGATGGAACATTTTCAACGATTCTGCTTTGAGGTTTTGGATGCAAACTGAATAAAATCAATGACAAATTGCCTCAAACCTCTTAGTAAAAAATTCACTATCATTTAATTTACCCTCAGACCGTATGCTTTTCATATACTCATTAGAGCTGCACACAGGCTCTTTGGATTTGTTTTTGAGGCATGAAACTAATTAAACCATTAACATTCATCAAGACTTCAGTATCAGTATTCAGAACGGTAATTGCTGCTTTAAAGAAATAATAATGCTTTTGGTGAAGCAGTTTTAGTCTCCGCAGCTGAACCAAAGACGGAATTGAACTCAAAGAGTTTGTTGTTCCCGAATCCTGAGAATTACAATAAACCATCTATCTCTCAAACAGGGTTTTCAGAGCGTATACACCAGCACGTTCCTCCTTGGCCTCCGTCCTAATGGTGTCTTTAAAACAGCTTTGAGTGCCGTTTGAACAATCTAGGGTTCATATCCTTCAGGAGTCAGTCATTAGCCTGTTTGAGACACACTATGTGCCTTCAAAGGCACTTTTCAGAAAAAGCTTTCAAAACCAGCAAATTAGTGCTGTCAAATCGACTACCGGTAATCGCGATTGATCAATTCTATATATATATATACTACAACACAGACACGCACACACACACACACACACACACACACACACATATATATGCACACATATATTATATTAATCCATTTGATATTTGACAACACTACAGCAAGTACAATTCTCACTTAATCTCATTAAATATCAAATACAATGTTATCTAACATAACATAACAGGGGCTGAAAGTAGCTAGTATTAAACACTCCCTAAAATGGTGAATTTGGCCTGTCCCACATGCATTGTCTTGACCATTTCAATTGTATAAACCAATAAAGATTATGCAAAAGGGACATCATTTTTATACAAAGCTAATCTGTTGAATTGATATTGAAATTAATTGTAAAGCCTTAATTATTAATTCATTTTAATAACCGGTAGCCGTGTATTTAACAATGTCAGACATGCACATCCCTGTTGCTGCTGATTTTGCTGAAGATTCCTTAAAATTATGGCATCCAGGAAGTGACATCATTGGGACTATTTTTACATCATGACTAAAAGATTAGTAAATAATTTAATTCCATTTTTCCCTTCTTTTCTTTTTTGAGCTCAATAATTTAACCTTGCTACCAAAGTTATAAAAAGAAAATGATCAAACAACAACAAAGATTTTTAAGTTTTTTTTAATTTCTTTTGTTTATCAACTAAAAACAGAATTAGGTGGTCCAAAATAGCTGGTCCATGTCAAGTAATGTTTACATTTTTATTTATTGTTTAATGTTATACATTTTATACTATATTCATTATTATCATTTTTTTTATTATTATATATTTTATTATATTTATAATTTTTTACTTTGTAACTTTTTCATTAATGATTTATTCTATTTAATTTGACTGTTTACTCTGTGTGTGTGTATATATATATATATATATATATATATATATATATACGTTCATTATAAATTGTCACATCAGGGTTTTAAACTATTTTCATAACAGGGTTGTTAAAACTGCAAACGGTTAAGCCTTGTTTTTGACCCTAGTGCAAAGTTTTGTACTTTTAAGATGTCTACAAAAAAACATTGTTCATATTTATTTTTTATGGCCAGGAAAAAAGAGTTTCTTTTCCGTTTCTTTTCATGGGTGAATGTGTTGTATATTGTGTTACGCTGAAGGCCAAAGCTGCACTGAATTGTACTTTGTGAGCCAGTTATCTATTATTTTAGTTAGCTTAACACTTCATGCTACCTTGACCTGTATTGATTTGATTTCAACATGCTGTGATAAAAATTGCCTATTGATGTACAGTTAAAGATTGTTGCGTTTCCAAAGTGCTGCGTGGTTCGTCAGTGAAGTTTGTCCCCAAGTGGCTTTATCTTAGTTTTGAGCTGTTTGTGTTTTTGCTGTACTGTTTCTGCCTCATGAGCTCCAACATTAAAAATGGTTTGCCAGTCCAACACAGTCTCATCCCAAGGCGTCATCTAACTGACGCTTCTGACCATGCGTCAACATGCCGACGCACACACCACCCCCCAAACGTCAACATGAGACGCTCATCATCGGGCGTCATCAAATGCCGCGCACCCTTTAGCGTCAGTTAGATGACGCTTCTGTTATGGGTAGGTTTAGGTCTGGGGTAGGGTTAGGATTAGACCACTAGGAGGCGCGTCTCATATTTACGCTCAAGGGGTACCCTGTGCGTCGGCATATTGACGCATGGCCAAACATGGTCTAAAGCGTCAGTTAGTTGACGCCTTGGGTGTGAGACTGGGCTGGCCAGTCAGCACGGCTAATGAAGAAATGTTCCGTACAAAATACTGCATCTGTTTCATCAGTGACTCTACTTTTATGGTAGGACTTTCATCAGGATGCCGTACATTTTTTTAATCTCTAAACTAACAGCACCTTTGGAAAAATCGCACCTTTTCTTCAGAGATTAGTTGATCAAAGACTGATCAGCGTCTGAGTTCAACACCAGGTAATACATCCTGAAAAATCATTGCAAAAACCATTAAAGGTATTTTTGTCCCCATCTAGTTTGGATTTCATTGTAATTTCAAGCCAGTGTATCACGCTCGAGTTGTTCTTCTTCGCATATAATGTGCTCAAAGCGCACTCAAAAGACTAATATCGCACTCTTGAAGCATGTTAAATAATTCCCCTGAAGTCCAATTACAGTATAATGCTAGTGAAGGTTTCTTGCCCCAGATACGGTGATAATTTAGTTTCACAGTGCGGTTTTACACCTCTTTCTGGTCTTTACAGCTAATCAGGCTGTTTTTTTAGAGTGTGCCTTTAAGACTTCATGCAAATGACCTCTGCTTTGATTGGCTAACCTTTTCATGTGAAACAAACAGCATGTTGCTGATTACCGGTTTTAGAATTTTCACATAAATGCACTGTAAAAAGTGACTTTTAGAAGATTATTGGAGTAAAAAAATTATTGGAGTCTTTTACTACTAAATTTCACTTTTAATTAAATGTGTTACTCACTGCTTCTTTGTAATTATTTGGCTTTCACTTTATTTTGATAGTTCACTTTAGACTTTCCTCTGCAACTACATGTCAACTAACTCTCATTAGAGTATTAGTTGACTGTTCGGTTAGGATTAGGGTTCAGGTTAGTAGACCTGTGTTCAGCGTCACTGAACGCAGATTGACAACAGAACCGGAAGACAATACAATGCTGAATAAAGTCGTAGTTTTTGTTATTTTTGGACCAAAATGTATTTTCGATGCTTCAAAACATTCTAACTAACCCACTGATGTCACATGGACTACTTTGATGATGTTTTTATTTCCTTTCTGGACAAGGACATACCGTACATACATTTGCAATGGAGGGACAGAAAGCTCTCGGACTAAATCTAAAATATCTTAAACTGTGTTCCCGAAGATGAACGGAGGTCTTACGGGCTAGGAACGACATGAGGGTGAGTCATTAATGACATAATTTTCATTTTTGGGTGAACTAACCCTTTAACATCACAAATGCAACGATTTAAACAACCATTTTTTTTTTTTTTTGCCATTTTGTTTCAGTAAGTGGTGTTGGTGGAATGGAGATGGAGCTTTTTCAGTCTTTTAATTTCCATGAATAGCCAGTTTGACAGAACTGTACCCTACAAAGAAAATTTCACAAGATTAAGATGTGTCTCACGAATGTAAAAACAATGTTGATTACTGAATTCAAAATGTTGAAAAGTCCTTGAATCAGCAGGTACTTTTGCACATCTCATAAATGCCTGAATTTCTAATAGTTGTAGTTGTCTTGTATCAATGAGTCCTACTCAGTTCCTCCTCTCATACACCTGCAAGACTAAGCATTGTTTTAATATGCCAAGCATGTCGTTCAGAGAAACTGTGAAGTGTTAGGGTTAGAGGAGGTCTGATGGCAGACAGGATATTTTTATATCCAAACAGACCAGCCGTGATCATCTGGATTTATTCTCTCAGGGTTCGGTGAATTCTGACCGGCTCTGAAAAGGTGTGCTGAAAGGTTTTTGGGATTAGAAAGACTTGAAATAAATGGTTGGCTTGGCTTTTCTCTTATAAGTTTGTGCTATAAGAAGATTTAAACTTTCTTTTACAAGTATAGCACATGTCTGAAACTTTTACTTCTAGCATTACTTGTGTTTAATGCCTCTTTAGGATCAATCGCTTGTATCTCTCATTTGTAAATCGCCTTGGATAAAAGCACACACTAAATAAATAAATGTAAAAGTAAGATGGTCTGGATGGTATAGTTTAGTTTGTCAGCCTAATAATAATTATTTTGGTGCAGAAAATAATTTATAATCTGTAGAAAAACCCAACACTTTAATGTTTGGTTAATTCATTATCATTTGGTTATGCTTTTGGTTAAAAAAAATTTAATCCAAACTGGATGTTTACATTTTTATTCATCATTTTTATTTGTTTTGGTTTATTTCATTTGTAACTTTTTTTTATTTTGATGTTTTTAATTGATTTAAAATTATTTTAAGTCATTTCAAACTGATAAAAGGAAGTGGATAAATGCATTTTCTAAGGATAACCACTTCTTTTGTCAAAAAGAGCAGCAATTTGAAGTGCCAGAACCAAATTTAGTACCAATTAAGATTAAAATACAATCTTTTATTGTCGAATTTAATTGAAATCGAAAGAGCAAGGTTATTTCAAGGAATAATTCAGACCAAAAGTAAAATCATTTTACTTTCAATCATTAATGCTCATTAAAACAATTTGATTTTCTTTCTTCGACAGAAGACAAAAGGGAAAACGGCAAAAAGGTCGACAGTGTTGCTATGCTCCAAAAAGGACAAATAATCATCATAAAAGTATCATAAGAGTATTCTCCATATGACTTGTGCACTCTATTTCAAGTCTTGTGAGAAACTAAGAAGCTTGAAAGAGACTCAAGCATCACAACATTCAATAAAAAAACAATATGTTGATGTCAAACTTGCTGCTCATCCAGGTCTGAATTGGGTGAA